CCCTGCCACACTGGCTCTTACCCTTCAAGTCCAAGCTCAAATGACCTCCTCTTAGGTTCCCAGACTTTCTTGACTCCTCCAGGCAGAGGTAGCACTCTGCTCACACTACTAGGCGGCTGCCCCATCTGCACGGTGGCCACACCTGTCATCCTGACATGACTGGGGCTCGTCCAGGTGAAACACATGTGATTCTTCTCGGTATACCCAGTGCTTAGAGTAGTGCCCGACATGGCAGCCTCTCAATAAGTGTGACTGTTACTGATATGCCATGAAATCACAGCAAATGGGTTTTGAGCATCTACTGTGTGCCAGAAAACTGGCTGGCCCAGTAAGGGTCAGACAGACAAACCAGACAGGAGCCCAAATCCCAATGTTGATTGTCCAGAGGGAGACAAGATGACTCCATGTTAAGCTAAATAATAAACACCAGAGCTTTACCAGATAAGCATGCACTCCATTCCCAGGCTAACAATTCCTCAGAAAGGCCAGGGTGGGCGAGAGCAGGCTTTGTGGAGGAGGCAGACCCTGGCCAGGTCTGAAGGGAGGGCTGGGATGTGGGTAGAAAATCGAGCAAGGGATTCTATTGAAAGGGATGTGAGCCCTGTGAGGCAAAGGTTGGGGGGCTTGGAGAAGGGAGTGAGATGCTGAGGGTGGGGAGGGTGGCAGAGAGAGCAGAGGGGCCATGAGTGCATGGTGACTGGGGTTCCGTCGGCCCCTGCCTGCAGACATCCAGAAGAATTATGAGTGTGCCAACTTCGGCGAACAGGGTATCACCATGGGCTGCTGGGATGTGTACCGCCATGACATTGACTGCCAGTGGGTGGACATCACCGACGTGCCCCCCGGAGACTACCTATTCCAGGTGAGGGTGTGGGAAGGGATTCCAGAGACCTGCTGATGGGAAGAGGGGCCTTTTCCCCCAGAAAGGGGGAGGCCGCCTCCTTCCCCTTGGAGCCCAAATACAAAACACGGGCATGGAGGCCAGGCTGTATAAAGTGCAGGAGTCCTACACCCAGAGGCCCTCGATGTCAGTCAGGTAACCTGAATATGTGGGCATGCGTACCAGGGGTAAAGGGCGGGGCAGACTGCAGACCTCCTGGGACATTTGCACTCAATTCAGTTAACTCCTGGTGCTTACAAATCAAAATGCATCTGCAGCCAGATTTGGTTCTTAGACCAGGAATTTATTCCACAGACTCTAAGGCCACCTGACTTTTTGGGTCCTTTAGAGCTATGCTCTCACCTCCACCCGGATTTCTCCCAGTGCCCTCACCCTGCCTTGTACTGTGCTGTCAAGGCTGAAAGCAGTCTCGTAAAGAGGCAGTCACTCACCAGTGTTTGCGACTTGACCCTCCCAGAAATGTCTGCCTCATAAAAGAGGACCTGCAGAGGGGGCAATTCCTAATGCAAAGAAATGGATCTGCAGTGGTAGAATGTTAGGCACTGGAGACAGCCCGTGCAGTGACTGCGTGGGCACTTCCCAGGGCTTCCGTGTAGTCTGGGTGGAAGGCCAGCCCTGGGGAGGCACCAGGGAGCCTTGGCTGCCTGCGAATAGCTTCACGCTCCAGCCAGGGCCCTGACTGGTGAGGGAGACAAAGATCACCCCCGTGTCTCTCCCCCTGGTGCACAGGTGCACTCCTTCTTGCCCAGGCTTCCTTTCACCCCTCATTTTCCCCATATCCTCACCCTTCTTGCTTTCCAGCTTTCCCCATGGGTGGCAAAGTAGGTGACCAGAAATGTGTCATTGTGCCTTGAAAGCTCTCTCAAGGGGGCATTCAGCCAGCCCAGGGCCTGGCCCATGGTCCCCACCCTAGAGACAGCCCTGCGAGGAACCGACACCTGCAGAGAAGTGACCACAGAGGGTCTTTGAAAGCCTCTTTGGGCAATTTCAGAGGCTGGAAATCAGACAGCTAAGCACTTTTCCACCCACAAGCCCCAAACCGCAGACTTGGAGAGGCCCCACCAGAGACCAGAGTGTTCTGTATTTAAAAAAAATGAACATCTGTGACTCTGTGCACGTATACCGTGGAGGGCGGTTTGTGTTTGAGGTCTGCTGTGATTTTGCCAGGTGACTGGATAGCATCGTGTATTCTGACAAATGCCATCTGCGTAATAACTACGGCTCATGGCAGATTGATGGCAGGCCAGGCCCTGTGAATGCTCTGTCTCGTGTCGTCCCCAGTGATGGGCATCACTATCACACTCAGCTTACAGCACGGCAAACCCAGGTCACAGCAACTCTGTGTTTTGTGTTCTTGACCCCTAAACTATACAATTCACCAGTTAACTCATTAGGGGCATGTTAACGCCTCTGATTAATGGAAAAGAATATTTCCCTTGGGACCGACACCGAGCTTTAGCCACATGAGAGCCCTGGCTTGGGGTTCCCTGGCCCTCTCCATTCCCACGTGGACACCAGTGCAGACATCAGCAACCCTGCATGTGGCGGGGGGGAAGCCCAGCAAGGACAAAGTGGCTCCAGGCAGAGGAGACTGTGTGCCAAGGCTCAGAGGCCAGCTCAATGGGCTGCCAGGTTTGCCGGTGGCCTTTCTCTGTCCTCACTCTCTCCACTTCCTGAATCCAGCACAGCAGATCTTTTGCCTAAGAAACTAAATCCAGGTTTCACAGGTCCTCACAAGATTAGAATCATAGAATATGAGAGTCAGATGGGATCGTAGAGACCCTGCATTTCAGTCCCTACCCTTGCCCCCAGGCCGGTCAAGCAGCCCTAATGGCCCCCAAGATGAGCCGGGTGCTGCACGCTGCTGCCCTCGGGGCTGCACTGCAGAGGGTCCTGGGTGGGCTCCCTGGGGGCATGGTTATTGGTGGACAAGGAGCTGCACAGTCCTCGGAGTGTGGGGCTTGTTTGCCATACATGCATGGGCTGGGGGCAGAGGACAGAGGACAGCAAAGGTTGTTGGGTAGAAAAGAGGTCAAGGAAACGGAAGGCCACCCCAGAGTGGGACAGTCACCAGCCTTAGCTGAAGAGACAGGGTCGGAGTGGAACACATCCTCGGGCGGGTCTGGCAAGCAGTGACAGATGTGGGCCTCCCAGAATGGTGGGCCCTGGGCCAGAACACAGGGCAGGGGGCCATGCTGGCCTCTGTTTCCCACAGCGTCGCTGGGAGGCCCAGCCAACCTGCTAAAGGGTCAGACCCAGACCTTCCTGGAGGAAAAGGTCCTGAGGGCCCACACCTAGAGACTGTTTCTTCACGGCATATCCCCACTGACCTAGGGCATGGGAGAGCCCTCGAGGGAAAGGCTGTCATTTGTCCTGCATTCCTCACTCGCAGCCCCAGTGCAGCTTTTGTCTCTTCCCTCTCCCTCCTCTTTCTCCTTTCTTCTGGGTTTCTCACCCCAGTCTCCCTTTTCTGTCCACTCACAGAAACCCTCTCTAAATGATGACGCTCCCTATTCCTGCTCCTTTGGGCTATGCTCCCTTTCCGGGGGTGATCAGGGATCCAGTGTCCACCAGAGCCCAGGCCCTGGACTTCCTGAGCAGGGATGGCTTTAGGATGGCCTAGAGCAACACCAAGGCCCGGACAGTGGGAGGGACAGTCACACCACCGGGAGCAGCATCCGACAATCCAACAGGGCAGCCCTCCTGCCATGCCCCACAGTGCCCATCACTGTCCCCGTCCCATCTCAGCATGTTCTGCTCCCAGCTCCCTTCTGTCCTGTGCCCCGCCCCCCACACCCCAACTCCTTCCTCTCTGCCAACCTCAGGCATCCCAGGAGAGAGCCACCCCTGCTGAAGGCCTGTGTGTGTGAATTACAGAGACAGACAGAGGCGCACGGAACTCCTCCAGGCCTTGCCCCCTCTGCCTCCCTAACCTCATCTCTGGCCGGCGCTGCTCCTTCTCGTGGAGCACAGCACCTGCCTTGCTCCCTTTCATGAGGCCGTCCCAGCTCTGGAGGCAGGACTGGTCTCAGCAGGGCCCTGGGGACTCCGCAGTCCCTCTGACCTGACTCTCCCCCAGGTTGTCATTAACCCCAACTACGAGGTTGCAGAGTCTGACTACACCAACAACATCATGAAGTGCAGGACCCGCTATGATGGCCACCGCATCTGGATGTACAACTGTCACATAGGTAAGTCCCCTGGGCACCTCTGGGCAACTACAGCACCCCCAGGGATGCCGCCCCCAGGCCTGCCAGGTGCCCCTCTGCAGCCCACCCTCCAGGAGACAGGCAAGAGCTGCCTTACTCTCTCAAGGAGCCACAGCAGCTTCCTAATTTGGGTGAAGAGCTTGGGGAATGGAGCCAGCCTCACATTTCCACGCACGGGAAGGACGCTGCAGACGCTAAAGCCTGGATGCAGAATGGGTTTTCACAGCCAGGGCTGGCCAAGGAGGGCGGTACAGTAACACCCAGCCCAACACAGACCCCAAAGCTATTTAAGGGCTAGAGCTGAGGCCACCACCTCATTATGCATGTGACCTCAAAAATGTGGGCGTCAGCAATTTGTGGGTCTGTGTATCACTTTCCTCTGTCGAGAACTAGAAACTAGTCAACCACTGTGGCTTCTGGTTACCAAAAGAGAAACCTCCTTGCATTATACGACTTGGGGCACCAAAGGGGAAGCAGAGCTTTCTCTCCTTCAGGAAAAGTGATGGCCCACGCTACATTTATTCACTCCTCTGCTGAAGTCTGACAGAGCACCTGACATGTGTCTGGCCCTAGAGATGACCAACACCTAGTTGCTTCCCTGGTGGCATCACATAGAGGTGGCCCCACCAGGCCACCTGCTGGAGGGTGGTGGCTCCGGGGCCCCTGAGGCCTACTGCTCCAGCCTGGGTGAGGGCTGGGCATCTGCTTTGCCAAACTCTGTCTCCCTGATGCCCATCCCTCAGGCGGTGCCTTCAGTGAAGAGACAGAAAAGAAGTTCGAACACTTCAGTGGACTCATAAATAACCAGCTCTCCACGCGGTAAGGCAGCCCAGTGGTCAAGCGGTCCTCTCCTGCCTTCGGGCCACAGCGCGTCCTCCCCAACAGCTGCAACCTGACTGACGGATGACCACACTCCCCCCTTGTCCAGCCCAGCCCCCACCCCATCTGGACACCCTGCAGCCACATCCAAGCTCAGGAGGAAGGGGTGTTGCTGACATTTGCAGGGGGCTTGCCTGGAGTCTGGGAAGGCCTCTGGGAGTGGGGCTTGTCCACAGGGCTATGGGAGCAGTGCCACAAGCCATCTTGTCCAGGACCCCAGGCGAACGGGTTCTCATCAGCTTGTCCCATTACAAACCACAGTCCCCCCACCCTTCTGTGTCTGATACCAGCCTGCTCAGCTCACCACAGATAACATGGGGCCATTTTCTTCTCAAGTTCCTTGTTGGCAATGTCAGCTTATCAACCCAAGGTGGTCAGACGGAATCCCGTTTCTCCTCCTCTTACATCATTTCCCGCCAACTTGAATGTCTAAACCTCTCTTCCAATTAAACAGACTGCCTCTCCTCTCCTCTATTCTATTCACGTATATAAATAATGCTGCCACGTGTTTTCTGTTGAGGTGAGCTCAGAGTTGGTGCTTCTCCCCCTGCCCCCTGCATCCTCTGTATTTTTCAAGATATCATTATTATATTTTCACGGACTTTGAAACACGAAGTAATTTAGTGGCATTTACTATTGGGCATCGGGGCCTTTGAAAGTATAGATCAAAAGAAAATCTCGCCCACCCGTGTGACTCATGGTTCTATTGTTCTGATTCTGTGGGTAACTGATTCAACGGTGCTACAACCAGGGTCCTGGGTGACAAGGACACCCACCGAATGCCATGTGTCATCACGGACACTTACACATACTTGAAACTTGGAATAAAAGGTTTATGGTACACATCTGTGCTTCATTGAAACCTCTGCGCCCAGCCCGAGCAGCAGGGCTCCTACGTCTACTTGGCCATAAGGGAGCCTTGGACACACAGATTTACTCCTGCAGAGAGATGGGGTCCAGTGTGACCACAGGACGCCTCCCTCCATACACGCCCAAAAGAGCAACTCCTGCCCCCTGAGAGCAGCAGTCTAAGGAGGTCACAGAAATACAAGTTACAACCTTTCCTGAGTTCTTGCCTTTTACTGAAATTTGTCAGGGGGCATAGCAGTTGTGTTAGGACCAGATGGGAGGGACATTTCGATTTAAACCATCCCAGGCGTCTTCCCACAGGGCAGAGCCTGGGCCAGCTCTGAGGGACAGGGCGGTGATACAAGGCGTGCATATCCACAGAGGGGGGGGGGGTCAGCGCTCTTCCCAGCAGTGAGCGTGGGTGGCCGGCCACTCTCACCCAGACACGGCTCCCACTTGTGGCAAGGGCGTGCTACAGCCAGCAAATCAGAGACTCCACAATGACCTCAAAGTGCCAGGCAGTCACCTCAGCACCAACTCCATCTGAACCAGAAAAATGAGTCTGCTGGGACCTGTCCCCACAAAGATGTCCTTGCATCTGTTTCTGTGAGGGAGGCAAACTCAGTGGATATTTCAGAGTTTACCTTTTGGCTTTGTTCATGTTTATTTCTGCAAGGTGTCCTTTGTAGCTTGCACTGACAGGGAACACCAGGACCAGTGCGTGGGGCGGGTCCCTCAGCATTGCCATTAGCCTGCAGTCGCTCTGCAGCTCCCCAGCTTGTAATGGGAGACTGGGCAGGTGTCAACCTACCCTCCAAACAGGTGCCACCTACCCCCTAAAGCTGGGCAGGCTCTGTGCAAAAACGCCTGGGAGGCCCAGCTGGGATCCTCTAGGCCAGTCTCCTGGAGCGGCCAATTTCTTCAGTAGCCCCAAGTCTAAAATGGGAGACAAACAGCACCCCCTAGTGCCCCATGGCAGACCACATTTTGAAGCGATCACATTATAACAAGCTTTAAGTTTTTATTTTTTCTCAATTTCTGGAACTAAACCAAACTGAAGCCCACCACGCCCCACAGTGGTGCTCCAATGAGGGTGCAGGGCTGTTCTGGTCTCTGTAAAGGCTTGCGGTGTTGAGGCACCAGCTTGTCCTGGGGGGGGGGGGGGGCGCCGATCCAGGCTGGCTGGGCTTCTCAGGGCCTCGGGGAGGCAGGAGACTCGACTGCAGGCCGTTCTTTCTTTTTGTGTTGAAGTCCCAGGGCCCGAGCCACCAGCCTCTGGGCCACTGCTGTATTTGTCTGTGGTCTCTCTTTCGCCAGACGCAAGAGCTCTAAAATGAAAGCCCCAGAGGGTGGGGAACTTGAATTTGAGGCTATAGCCACTTCTCGCAGCGACACAGCAGCCTCAGAGGCCATCTGAGCTAATCCCGAAGACCAGCTGTGCCCACGATGTGACCAGATGCTAAGAAGAGGGCGCCTACTGCAGGGTCCTGACCTAATCCTGCCACCTCTGTGCGCTCCCTGCTTCTCCACCTGCACAGGGGCGGGGAGGAGTCGGCCCTGCCCATCTCCACCCCTTTACGGCCCTTGGGGAGGGAAACAAGTCAGGATGGGACACATAGAGATCTTGGACTGACAGGATATTCGTTGTCCCCAAGAAACCTGGGACAAAGACCACACGACCCACAAGGGCATGGATGCTCCCAACAAGCCCCTCCTGGGCCAGCTTCGCTGGCCACTGCCGTGCAGAAAACTGGCCTCTAAAAGCCCCCCTCATGCCTTCTGAAAGGAGAACAGGGAAGGCGAGGAGCTGTCACTTATTTGGCGTCTTTTGTGTGCCCCCTCGCCTCTCCTGGCAGGTCTGCCAGGCTCTTTCATTTACTCCTCCAGCCTCCTCTGCATGATCTTCTTATTTTATAGAAAAGGAAATCCACTCACAGATATCAGGTGGCTTGCCCGAGGTCAACTTAAGTAAGGGACAGAGCCAGGATTGCACGCACGCAGGGCTGACTCCAAAGCCCAAGCTCTTTACCCCACTGCACAATAGGGTTCCCGCGGCCTTACCGGAAAGACCAACTTCTCCCTGAGCGACACCCAGCAGAGGTGTGAACAGGAGGGCGAGGCCAGAGAACAGCAGCTGGCAGACAGCACTCCCTGCTGGGACCTCCTTCCCTAGGCGCCCCCAGCCCCTCTGGGTGTGGGGGGGAGCACCTCACTTGCCACTGTATCCCCAGCGCCCTAAAGCAGAGAGCTGAAGGGGGCTGAATCCCAGGGAAGGCCCCACCTCCTAACCGCATGCTCGAGCACACATACAGCCTTCCCTTCCAGACACAGCCACATCCTTACTTGGCCTCTGCAAGGCTTTCAGCTTTGACTGCTTGGTGCCCTGCGTGAGGGGCCGGATCTTAAGTGCTGAGAAATCCTTGGCCAGGGCTTCAGCAGCTGTGGAAAGAAAACAGATCTGGAGCCATCCTCTCTTCTTCCTGGTGAGGCCCCCTCAGGGCCCAGGAACACACGCATCACCCAAAACGGATGCAGCCTCTTCATGCACCCATTCAAAGCTCAGAGACATGGCTGACACCACGGTGGCTGGGAGAGAGACGACTGCCATCTGCTCGCCCGGCCACCCCCCCCCTCCCCCAGCCCTGGATGGGGCCACCTGTGCTCTCAGATGGGCAGCCTGCAGACCCCAGCTTCCACCCTGGGCTGATCAGCCGCACAGGAGAGCCAGGCTCCCACCTTCTAAAGCCCGGAAGCTTTAAACAAAGTCTATCCTTTCCCCAACTCAAGACCCTCCTGGGGCCCACACCCTCAGCGCCCTGAGTTCTGCTGAGCCATGGCGTACTTGGGCTCCTTAGAGACACAGGGTATCAGACCTGGGAGGGGCTTTGGGTCCAAGCCTCCCCTTTATAGATAAGGAAACTCAGGCCAGGATATGACCTGCTCACGCCACACAGCCCGGCAGAGCTCAGAAGTCAGCCACTGTCAGGCCTGGCCCAGCGCTCCTCCTTTCCATCGCATCGGGTGGCCTTTTGGTCTTCGCTCCTGCCTCCCTTTCAGTCGGCTCCCTCTCTGGGGTTGGAACCCCCACTGTGCCCTGGTCCTTCTACTCCCTAACACCACCCCGCTTCCTTCAGGCTTTCCTGAGGACTGGGCCCACACCAGCTATGAACTCTCCCAGCTCCAGTGTTCAGAAGCCCAGCCAAGAGGGGTAGGGGCTTCCTCTTTATAAATACAGCCCAAGTGAGCAGTGGTGTGGCGGGAGCAGGTTGGGGAAGTGGCCACGAGGGAGAAAGAACACTGAAGTTACAGTCAGGAGGCTGGCTGGCATCCCCGGCTTTGACACAGAGGGGTGTTGTAGCCTTGAGCAGACCACTGACATTCTGGAAACCTCAGTCTCCCCATCTGTAAAACAGAAGTGATCTGACCTACTTCTTGAGGGTGTGATGAAACCTGAATAGGAATGCATCTGCTTGAACCTTAGGAAATTTCCAGTATTTGGATGCTTTTCATCTATTAAAAACAGTACTTTCATGTGGTTCCGTTTAATGTGTGGAAGTACCTAGGGCTCGGCCTGTGACATCATCCAAAGCCTCTGAACTGAAGGCACTAAAGTGACCAAGAAAGGCTGTGAGCTGCCCGGCCCTGCTCCCTGGACTTGGGATTAGACGGGCTGGGAGTACAGACCCTGCCAGCCCGCCTGCTCAGGTTAGCCTGCACCCTGGACATGGCTGGTCCTCCTCTCAAAGAAACCAAGGCCCCTCCCCTTCTCAGTGACAGTCACAGGAAGGGCCAAGCCCACTGTGATGTGAAGCCGCTTTACCTGAGGCCAGGCAGGGAAAGACGCCAAGCGCGTGCGTGTCGTCCACCCACTGAATCTTGAACCCCTTCTCTCTGGGCCGGGGAAGAGGAGACACAGAGGGATTACGAAAGCAAATGGGCAAGACCCTTTCTGCTAAAGGAAGTCCCCTCCCACCCCAATCCTCAAACACTACGAGACCAAGACCAGTTCCCATCTCCTCTGGGAAGGAGACAACCGTTTATAGCCAACTTGCTCTGATCAGGTGGCTTCCTGATTCCTAGAACTGGAGAAACCAGGACTCAAAGAGCGAGTACAGCACAATGCCGTGGGTGAGGAAGGGTCCTCCTGCCTCGTCACAGCCAGGCCGAGGGCAAGGGTTCCGAGGCTAGAGACAAAAGTTATGTGGTAGGGATAGGGGACAGGACCTAAAACACACATTTTAGTATTATTGTTCCTGATCCGCTAACTTTCTTCCCACTGCTCAGGAACGTATCACTGAGTCTGGGGCCGGGGAGAGGCCAAAAGCAGGTCCAGGCTCTGCCAGCTCCTCTGCGGGCACTGTCCACACTGGCTGGGGAAGTCACCTGTGGCCCCAGGTTGGCCAGACCTTCAGGGGTCGAGAGATGAGCCCCATGAACCCCACGTGCCCCACGCAGCTGCGCCTTCAGCTCTCCTCCAGCTCAGGCTTTGGGTGGGCAAGGGAAGGCTGTTTGGGAAGCTGTCAGAAAAGGAGGCCGTGAAGGAAGGGATTTTTAAAAGCCTGAGCAGGAAAAAATAAGGGGGAGTGGAGAAAGGAAAATGAGCATTCAAACAAAGAAAGAAAAGAAAAAGAGAAAAAAGGAGAAAAGGTTGGAGTTGGATCCAAGGGATTTGGGGAAACAGGAGAAGTCTTTTCTCTCTGTATGTCCTTTTCGGCTTCCATCTCCATCCCGGCTCGCCCCAGAAATGGTTCCTGCATGGAGATAGCCCTCAGTCTCATGACTGATTGGCTGGGTGGCTGGGACATGAAGCAAGGGGGCTGGTGGGTTGCCTGCTTTCTGTGTCCTGATGGAGAACCCCACTGGGTCCTGGCAGGCACGTGGGTGTGCAGGGGGCAGAACAGAGGTGCTGCATGTGCCACCAGGGCCAGACCTAGGGCCCCTGGAATGTGTCTACAACCAAAAATTGCTCTCGTCTCCCCCACAGTCACGGTCTATAGGCTGAACTGCCCAGAAGTATGGAGCCCAGAATGAAAGCATCCACTTTCTGCCTTTTTTTCCATGTTGCTGGGTACTGGGGGAGAGGGGCAGGCAAGTGTCCTCAACAACAAAGGGATGTCCTAGCTCCTCTCCAGAGGGAGCACCACGCCTCCCCTGCCTCCCAGAAGCCTCGCCGGCACTCACTGGAACTCGGAAAATGCTGCCAGCAGGTCCTCCGTCTTGAGTGTCGGCTGAAAGTCGTAGATCTCCACCACGTGGCCAAAATCCTGCTCTCCAGGCAGCTCCTCTGCGAAGGAGGACGTGTCCACGTGGATCTTCTCTACCTGAATCTCCTTCTCAGTCAGGTTGTCCGTTATCTGGGAGAGATCACACCCTTTGGCAAGGGGGGCTCTGACACACAGGGCTCCACACAACTGCTTTCAAAACAACACACCGAGTCCTGCAGGCCTCTGCGTGGGCAGAGGAGAGTGCCAAGGGTGGCTTCGCATGGGAGCCACACCTGGCAGGAGTCTAGGAAACGGGGCATGATGGGAGACTGGGCTGGAACATGGAGAAGTAGGAGTCTGCAGGGAGGGAACTTACTCCGTGGAGTCCCCACTGGGTGACTGGCACTTATACACACTGTGTTTCATAGAATCCTGAAAAGTCTATGCTATATACCCGCTTTCCAGATGGGACACTGTAAATCAAAGAGTTAAGTAATGCTGCACAAAGCTGCACAGTCAGTAGGAGACAGAGCTGGAAAGTCCAGGATCTTTCCTTCCCTCCTTAATGATGTGACAGTAAGCAAGTCTTTCTGGTCTTCATCCTTCACCTACGAAATAGCAACAAAAGAGGCCCACTCTCCCAACCGAACACCGCAGTCAGTCTCAGGGCAGACACACAGTTCCAAGGAAACGAGATTTGTTAAGACAGAGCTCCAGGTAGTCATTTTCATGACTGTGTCTGTAGCACTTACAAAGGAATTCCACATACATCCTACCTACGTTACCTTGTGAAGTATGTATTATTATTTGCTTTTCAGATGAGGAAACTGAGACTCAGAAAAGCGTAATGACTTGCTTGTGGTCGAATAGCTCCTACATGGTTGAGGTGGGACCTAAATCCACAATCCTGATGCCATACATAAGCCTCCTCCCCTCCAATGTCAGTCCCAACTCCTCTGGGCAAGGCCACCGTGCTCCCC